AACCAAATGCTGCTGAGACGCAGATGTACACTGGATAGTGTGTGCCTGGTTGGAGAGACTGTAAAAGGGTTTGCTAACTCCGGTGTGGAGCCAGGGACGATGCAGACGTGAAATGAAAAGCCAACAGGAAAGACCCTGGTGACCACAGACATGTTCTCGGTTGTGACTGTGTCAACATTAAAGTCATAGTCATGCAGGCTGGGAAATGTGATAAAGATCACACAAGATCTCTGTCTACCTTCCTACAAGTGTATGTGAATTCCTAAATGTAAATGGTTTACTTCTTGTTTTGGTTTGTCTCTTTGTTTATGTCTCTCTATGTAGCCCTGGCTGTCCTGAAACTCACTCTGTAGACCAGGCTGGCCTCAAACTGACAGAGATCCGCCTGCCAGAGTGCTGGGATTAAAGGCGAGCTTCCCCATGCCCATCTTAAAACGTTTATTTCTTAAGGTGAGCTGTAGTCTTATTTATTCTACTTCTTTTGAGAATGTTCTATTATTCTATCACATTTTTTCTAATTTTTTTGTTTGTTTTTCGAAACAGGGTTTCTCTGTATTGTTTTGGAAGCTGTCCTGTAACTAGCTCTGTAGACCAGGCTGGCCTCGAACTCACAGAGATCCTCCTGCCTCTGCCTCCTGAGTGCTGGGATTAAAGGTGTGCACCACCAATGCTCCGCCACATTTTTTCTAATTTTTTTTATTAATAAATTTTGTTCCTTGTCGAGCCGGGCGTTGGTGGCACACGCCTTTAATCCCAGCACTTGGGAGGCAGAGGCAGGCGGATCTCTGTGAGTTCGAGGCCAGCCTGGTCTACAGAGCTAGTTACAGGACAGCCTCCAAAGCCACAGAGAAACCCTGTCTCGAAAAACCAAAAAAAAAAAAAAATTTTGTTCCTTGTCAGTCTCATCCATATGTATAATGCTTTCTGGTTATGCACATGCCATGAGTGTGCACACACACTTACTTCCCTCCCATCCTTGACAGACTTCCCTCTTCCTTACAGATCTAGTTCCAATATTTACTAATTTTTGTTTTGCTTAGTGAACCATGGAGTCTGACTGGGGCTAACTGTGGGCTCAGCAGTGGGTGTACAGCAACATGCTGCGCCTCCCTGTCCCACAGTCGTCTCGTTGACGTCAGTGAGTTAGATAGGGTTCATGATCCCCACCACCTCCAGAGCTGCCTAGTAGGAGGACATGACTTGTGTGGACCCAGGGCCAGGAGATGCAGCTTCTGTGAATTCATGATTGCCATAGCTGTGTCGTGCTTGGAAGATATCCCTTCACAGCCATCCTCCATATCTGTTTTGTGATTGTGTCAAAGTTAATGTCATAGTTATGGCAGGTTGGGAAATGTGATAAAGATCACATAAAATCTCTGTCTGCCTTCCTACAAGTGTATGTGAACTTCTAAATTTAAATGGTCTACTTCTTGCTAACATCTTTCTGCCCTCTTCGTCAATGTTCCCCGAGCCTTAAGGGGTCTTGTGAATGTCTTGTTTAGGACCAAGCACTCAACTGTCCTTTATTCTAAGCATCTTGTATGGCTTCACTGTCTAAGGTGGAGAGCAGCCTTTGCTTATGAGCACTAACACAGATATTTCATGGGTGACTTTGTGGCATGTCAATTCAGCTGAAGAGCAATTCCCTACTATGGTCTAAGACTTCTACAGTCATTGGGTTTGGACTGGGCTTCTAGTAGTAAGTATGGGTTAAATTCTATCCCTATGAACTCTTTCCTGATACATTTTGATTTTATAATTGATTTTCTAATTTTTAAGTTGGGTACTTGTATTTTTCAGTCTTCAGTTTTCACTTATTAAAAATCTTAAAGGTGTGCATTTTCCTCAAGGCTAGCACTAGCTATGTCCCATATGCCTTGATATAGTTCATTAGTTTATAGATAATTTCCTACTGGATCATGTAACATGAGAAATCACTTACTCATTTACAAATAGCTAATCCCTCTTTCTCATTTCTGTGTACAATTTTAATTTACTTGGGTTGTAACAGGAAAATGTAATCTCAAAATCCTTCCCTTTGGCAATTAGTAAGTTTTTACTGGGCTCGGTGATTAAGAGCATTTACTGCTTTTGTAGAGAACATAGTTCAATTCCCAACACCCATATCATCAGCTCCCAACTGCCAGTAGCTCCAGCTACAGGGGATCTAACGCCCTCTTCTGGTCTCTGCAAATACCTGCACTCACATGCACAAAACTTTTACACACACACACACACACACACACACACACACACACACACACGAAAAATACACAAAATAAGAACTATATACTTTTTTAAGAGTTCATTTTGCTTCCCTCCAGCAGCTCGTGTAAATTACTGTGCCGGTGATGATGCTAGAAGATATTGACTCCACAAATCGTTCATCTGTTGGAAAAATTTTTGGGTTTTGTTTTGTTTGAGATAGTCTCACCTTATAGTTCAGACCTGACCAAAACTCATTCTATAGCACAGGGTGGTCTTGAACTCAGAACTGGGATTACTGGCCTGCGGCACCATGCCCAGCAGCCAGAAGCAGTTTTAGCTGACCAAATGATCTGCTGCTCACCCCAGAACATGCGTATGCTTACATTCACATAAAACTCCTAATAGGAGCTAGAGAGATGGCTCAGTGGTTAAATGCACTGGTTGCTATTCCAGAGGACCTGAGTTTGATTCCCAGCACCCACATGGTGCCTAACAACCTTCTGCAACTCCAGATCTAGGGGATCTGACACCATTGTCTGTTGTCCTCAGGCATTGTATGCAAGCTGTGTACAGGCATGCATTTTGGCAAAACACCCACCCACATAAAATAATTCAAACTCCAGCAGGGGGATGGGGGTGGCACACACCTTTAATCCCAGCACTCAGGAGGTAGAGGCCAGCCTGGTCTACAGAGTAGTTCCAGAACAGGCAAGGCTACACAGAGAAACCATGTCTGAAAAAAATAGGAAACTGTGTGCTGCAGGATATTGGTCATACTGTGAACCCTGAAACTGTATTAGTTACCAGAATAAAACTGCTTCTAATCGTGGTGTGGCTCAACCCTAGCACATACCTTTAATCCAAGAGCTCTCTGCTTGAATATTGTAAATATAATTGAATAAAGTCAACCATGGGTTAAGAGGTGGAGCAAGCAACCGGTTGACAGGAAAAAAAATCATGGAGAGTAAGGAAGAATCAGGAGGAAGGATAGAGACACACAGGAAGCAGAAAGGAGGGGCATTGAGAAGGCACAGGAACAAGCTGTCTCTGGGATGTCTGCAGAGCAGGGTGTCAGCAGGTGCTCCCTCTGCCTCTCTGAGCCTGCAGGCTTTCACCCTAGCATCTGGCTTCTGAGTCTTTATTGGTAAAATTGAACGATTGAAATTTTGTTAAAAACATCACATGTGTGTTATAATTTTCCCTTTATTCATCTACTCTTTTAAATCCTTTGTTCTTTGTTACAATGGATAAACCAAGCCGGGCGTTGTTGGCTCACCCCTATGATCCCAGCACTTGGGAGGCAGAAGCAGACCGATCTCTGTGAGTTCAAGACCAGCCTGGTCTACAGAGCGAGTTCCAGGACAGGCTCCAAAAACCCTGTCTCGAAAAACAAAAAATAAAACAAAAAAACAATGGGTAAGCCAATACTGATACACTATAATTGACTGACTCCATAGCTTATGTTAGACTTTTCTCTCTTTTTTTTTTTTTTTTTTTTTGGTTTTTCGAGACAGGGTTTCTCTGTAGCTTTGGAGGCTGTCCTGGAACTCACTTTGTAGACCAGGCTGGCCTCGAACTCACAGAGATCCGCCTGCCTCTGCCTCCCGAGTGCTGGGATTAAAGGCGTGTGCCACCAACGCCCGGCCGACTTTTCTCTTTCTATTGTGGGTGTTGACAAATATATGCTGACACAAAGCCACTACCTCCATAGTTTTGCCTCTTGGGATGGCATATATTGACATTATGGTTATAAAATATTTCCTGGAGGAATGTGTGACTGTTTCCCCAGAAACTGAAGAGTCTCATAAGAGTTGGGAAGTCACAAGGCCACTGCTCCGAGGTAATCAAAGCGTCAGCAACAGCTGGAGGAGAGGAGAGAAGGCAGGACTCTCTGAAAGGTGTGCAGGGAGCCTCAGCCATCAGCTCACGTGAGACATCATTCATGCTGGGTGGGGCTTTTGGTGACACAGCTGCCTATAAGTCAACCATGCCCCTGAGCTAGACTTGGGTGGAATCCTTCCTTCGGTCTGTCATCAGTGCCCTGTCTGGGACTGACAGATACTGGTTCACTTCTCCCGAAGCCAAGTCTCAAAATACCCCCCAGACTAGGTCCCCAACAAGTGGCAGTGTTTTGGGAGGTTCCTGGGAAACTGTAAGAGGTGGGGCCTAGTGGAGGGACAAAGTCATCGGGGTGTAGCCTCAGGTTGTACTTTACCTCAGTGCCTGCCTCTCTGCCCCACGCTCCTGCCAGCAGGGTCCCAGAGACAGTGAAGCCAAGGATTATGGTCTGCAATAGTTCCTTTCTTCCCATAGGTTTTTCTCTTGGGTATTTTGTCAAGGCAAAAAGAGCCAATTGACAAAGAAAATCAGGGCCAAAGAAGAGGGTTGCTGCTGCAGCTATATGCAATGTGTCGCTTTGGTTTTGGAGCTGGTTTGCAGAGGGATTTGAAAGCATTTGGAGAAAGCTGGCGAGGAAAACCTTAGGCTGAAGAGCATAATGGACAATCCTCGGGTCAGAGGTTAGAGTGCTGGTGGAAACACAGATGATGGCTCAGGTAGCATCAAGGACTTTGTCGAGAACTGTATGAGAGGCCACATGAGCTGCCAATGGCAAGGTCACAGGACAGGGACGGCTGTCTAAATCGCAGTTTCCTGGTTCCCAGTGTCTTGTTCAAATTTGATGCAAACTGTGTTAACTTAAGGGAACAGTCATTGAAAACCTGTAACCAAGCATTGGAAACTCTTGACTCAGCAGACGCTTCCAACATTATAGATAAAGACAAACAAGAAAATGCCAATTCTTTATCTATTGTGGTGAGTAATTAAATAAAGCCGGGAACATTCAGATTTCAGATTTCTCTACAGCTGCTACATTCAAGCAAGTAAAACCCTTTCAGGTAGCAGTGTCTGTCAGAATAATCATAGACATTGCAAAGTGCCGGGGAGTGGGTATTTGTTTCTCTGCATCATTGCATATGTGGGTATACAGGAAACACCCCAACAAGACATCCTGGAAGTGGTTAACTCTGGGGCAAAGTGGAGGGAGGAGGGAATCTTGGGGGGTGCTCACACACGTGTGTGTGCCCTCCTTCCCCAGGGGTCTGGGTTAGAGTAAGAGCATTCCTTGCCAACAGTTTGGGAAGGCCTTGAATCCAGAGGTCCCCACAGCAGCTCTAACCATCTAGACACAAGCCACGGAGGATCCCGTTTCCCGCCTCCCTCTCTGAACATCAGTGTGTCACAGAATGATCATCAGGGACTCACACCTGGCTTCCTCCAAACCCTCCCAGCCCCCTCTCTTTTGCCCCAGTTCCAAATACCCAGGCCACATGACTTTCAAGTATCAACTTTTTCTTTTCTTTTTTTTTCTAGTACATTCTGAAGGCTGGAATTTGTAACAATTGCAGTGTTGTGGAGAGAGCCAGAATACCAGCCTTCCCAAAGAGTGAGATAATAAAGCCGCCCCCTTGCCATTTTCCCATAACTCCTCCTCATGCTACGGACTCTCTTCTCTTCCTTGCTTCAATGTCCCCAGTGAGGAGGTTGCGGTGACGCAGTGAGGGGTGGAGGGGAGACTAGGAAGACACGGTAGAGCAGGCTCCTAGTGGGTGATATTGCGCCTCTTTTCACAAGCCCAGCGGTTCACCTGCTGGCAGAAGTTGTCATTCCAGTGCCCATCGGACAAGATTTCAACACAGTCTTCACTTCCACCCTGTTCATGGCCCTGCCAGTTATCTGGCTGAGTGAAGTCCCAGTTCCTAAGAAGGTAAGCCAAAGAAAACTCAGGGCCCAACCTCCCTACAACCCTGCCCCCGCCCCCAAAAAGCACAGCCTTGGAAGGGTTCAAGGATTGACGATATACAGGCTTGGAAATGGGGCAGGGGCAGGAAGGAAAAGGTTGGGGAAATTGGCCCCCAGGGACCCAGAGGAGTGCATTGAGGTGAAAGCCAGCTGGTGTCCCTGGAGAGAACAAGGACAGGCCCTCGGGGAGGCACTGACTTGTAGTTGCTTCTGTATTCGGTTCCATCCACCCATTTCCAGGAGCCATCCCTGTCAGTGAGACCTATCCAAGTGTGAAATGAGGCCGTGTGCTTCGCAACGAATTTCTAGAAAAACAATTGTGAGAGCAAATTGCTTCATCCCTGATCCATGAGAGTGAGCATCCAAGTGTCCCCACCATACCCCAGCCTGACCTGCCCAATGCTGAAGTCTCAGTTCCCAACAGCTAGGCCCTCGGTTTGCCCTCTGTGAGCATAGCTAGTGTTAAATGAGCATTTACTGGGCCTGACTCTGTACCAAGTGCTTTGCAAGGGTCCTCTCATTTGAGCCTTAGTAGCTCCCCAAGGTGGGTGCCGTAGTAACTCTCACCTTGCAAGGTAGTTATTAGAACTTAGAAAACCAACCCAGCATCTAACTTGTGATGACCACCCTGTTTCCAGCCTGGGCCCACTTCCTGCTTCACTCCTAGCCCCGCTGCTATGACAACGCTGGCCTTCTCATCTTCTGCACCAGAATCTTGGTGATCCTGCCCTTGCTGTCCCACAAATCCCAGAACTCACGAAGCACCTTGGTTTCGCTGTCCTCTCTGTTGTACCCTAGGTCTCTTGCTGTGTTTCTGATGTCATTCCCCGAGGATTGTGGACTCCAGCACTTTTAAACTTGGGCTCACTACCCAGAACTACATTTTGACCTGACTGCAAAGGATCTGATAGTTTCCATTGAAAAAAGAAAGATGCCTGGGTAAAAGGCAGCCAGCCTAGTCAGGGGACTGTCACCGGCTTCAGTGCAAACCTCCCTGCTCTTACAACTAGATTCCTAGGACTAAAGCTTTTTCTAGGGGCTTGCTCTTACAAATGTGACTGCTCTGGGAATTTAAATCCCATTGTTCTGGATGATTACAAGAAATGTATGGTCACCTGGCTTTATAAAATAAACAGAGTCAGTTTGACTAGCCTGCACTCTAATAATCCCCTTTGATAGCATGTGAAGAGTCCCCACTGCATTTGGAGAAAAACTGTCCAATTCCACTCACAACCTCCAGAGACCATGGTTGCTCACTCATCCAAAAAAGAGCCGACTCAGTGACAACCATAAAGTCTAGAGTTGTGCACATATGTCCCATTCGTGAAGAAGCAGCCACTCAGGCTGCTCCACAGATTCAGAGGTACCAGCAGGGATGGCACAAAGGGATCTGAAGACAGGATGTTCTGGTTGTTGCTACCTGATGGTGCAATCACACTTCCCATCACCAAAGAGACAAATGTACACAATCAAAAATCCCAAGCTCAGTGCTCAGAGGAGTCAACAGTGCTAGATGACCAAGGAAAACCGTCCAGACCATTCCTCTACCCTTTCCTACGTGAGCATAGAAGGAACTGCACCAGTTCACAACTGTGACAGGAGGGAAATCACCATGGAATCCCTGCCCCACCTGCAAAGAGGAAGCTGAGTATTTACATTATAAGCAGCTGTAGACTGTGCACCAACAGTTGAGCATATAAGTAAGTCATTTGTCCCAAAAACCATTGGCTGGGTCATTTTTGAGGACAAAGTACTTTCTTTAAAAGTAAGAAGCACTGGGTTAACATTTGTTACCCAAAGCTAAAAACCACTAATTTAAAACACAGAGACCCAAAAATGGTTGTAACTAAAATGATGGACAGAAACTAAAAAAATTTAAGTACCACACCCTATACGTCAGCCAAAGATGAGTTCAAGGCTGAAAGTATTAAGTGGGGTGGTCAGAATGACGACAGAAAACCACTGTGAAACTGTAGTCATGAGCTCGTGAGCCAAATCTTAGACGGAATTACATAAAATTGATGTTTTCTTATGTCAAAAGTAACTAAATGCTAGCAAACTTACCTAATCAGTAAAGTAAAATATGTTAGAAATTACAGTGAAGGAGCTTCCGTAGTGCAATCGGTTAGTGTGCGTTATTTATAATGTCCTTAGAAATTACAGTGAAAATCACTTACATAGCTGACAAACAGCCAATACTCAGTAAGTACATTCTGACTTCTGTATCAAATGGTTTCATTGCGTGAGCACTGTAACTCTTCCAAGTCCAAACAGAACAAAGCCCCCACAGACCCTTTAGTATTAAGGTGGTGGGCAGCAGTTGAAAACCCTGAGCAAAGAGGCCAAGTGGGTCTCAGTCCTGGTTCCATGATGGCTTGCTGACTCTAGTGCATCACCTTCCCTGGGGTCCTGAACTCCAGGGGGGATGATAAGGGTGCACACCCAACATGGCAGTGGGGATTAAAGAAATGAACTCATGAACACATCTAAATTGTAGTGAGACTGGCATGGAATTCTATCATTACCCTCCTTGTGCAAAACTGTCCAACCATTCTACCAAACTTGTTCCCCTCCATCAACTTAGGTTTTCAGTCACTATCTGGAAACAGCAGTGGGGAAGGAAGACACAGGACACCTATGGTCAGTGAGGACCCAATGACCCACTGCAGGAGAGCAACTTAAGTCTTCTATTGTGTTCCTTTTGCCACAAATTGAGTAAATAAGGAAGAAATCCAAAGGCCAGTGAGATGACTCAGTAGATAAATGCAAGCTCAATCTCCAGAACTGGCATAGAGGAGGAAGGAGAGAACCAACTCCACTAAGTTATCTTCTGACCTCCATAAGCATGCCACGGCATACACACTTGATAATAATAATAATCATAAACAATAATAGGAAAATAACAGAAGCTTGACCAGGCTGCTTGATCAAGGCTGCCTTCAGGGTTGCTCACCTGCTCGTCCCATGAGTTGATGACCAGCAGGTGGGCATTCTCCAGCTGGCAGTACTCCGAAGCCTCAGCCCAGGTCAGCCCAACCCGAGAAAACCAGTAGCAGCTACCCCCATGCTCCACCCAGTTAACGGGACAGCATTCTGTGCCTGAGGGAACAGAAGGGCAGAGGGAAATGAGATCCACCTGGAAGAGACAGACACACGGGAATCAGCCATCCCTGTCCTACCATTGCTCTGGTAGAAGGCCAGCTGACAGGTCAGGATTTGTAGATCCAGTGGGAAGTGCTTCAGGTGCAGGAGCAGAGTGGAGTGATCTAAGGGACAAACACATGGACAGAGATGCAGCAGACACGTGACTCCACACCTGCACAGAACTGCAGCCATTGTCTGGGGAAACACACAGGTACACACCACTCTACACATCATCATGACCCAGAAGTGGGGGTGGGGTGACCTCTGACCTGCTTTCAGTTCCTGCTGCTTTTTCTCCAGTTTGGCTCCCAAGGATGTCAATGTGTCATCTCTGCCACCTCCTGAGAAAGAGGGATGACAAATGGTTCCCTCATCAGTCTGCCTCCCGAATTCTCCAGCTGTTCACTCCTGGGCACCTTGTCCCACAAGCTGCTTATCTGCGCCTAGACTCCCAGCCTCGCCCATGTGAGGCCGCCATGTTGCTTACGTTCTTTCGCTGGTCCCCCATGTTTTCAGACAGGGCTCCTTTCACTCAATCCACACAGCTGGCTGTGTGACCTTCGCCTCTCTGACCCCTCACCTCTGTCCATGGATCACCACCCCCTGCCACACTAAAAGTGTGTGTGGTCCTAAAATGTCCAGTGGTCCTCTTCATCCCGGACATCCTGGCTTCTTGTCTCTTCCTGGCACTAACTGCCTCCACAGTCTCCTGCCCAGACTCACCTTCCTAGCCCCTTAGATCAGGGCTCCCATCTCTGGAAGCCTTGCCAGTTCCCCTGGCTGGATTGTCTGTCTTGGTTTTTATGTGCACAACCCGTGAACACACTCCTACTGCAGCCCCAGCACCGTGTCCAGACAATCTACACAGACAAACATACATGGATAAAGTCTCAGCCACCCCACCCAACTCACCGTGGGAATCCAGAGCCCTGAACTCCATCAGGGTGCTGGAGGAGAAGTTGCTGAAACTTTCTTTCAGGGTCAAAAACTCCTCTTGCAGTCGCATGCCTGGTCAGGGAACATTTGGGGCCAGCTGAGTGTGGGACTGCGTCCCAGGGTGTCACGTCACTGTCCGTGCGACTAGTCCCATGTCACCCATCACTGTTACCATCTTTGATCCCATCACTTCCCCACCATTGATTCTGCACCCAGAACCTGCCCCAAGCTGCCTCTGCCTCTCCTTTTCTTCCCCCCATCTGTGCCCCGTCGCTCCCCAGAGCACTTCTCTGTGCTGGCCTCTTCCTTGCCAGGCCATGACCTCACTTTGGGATGAAATCACACAGATGACCACCAGCAGCAGGACATTGAAGGCCAGGGCAAGCAGATTGAGGTAGAGCCTGAAGCCGAGGCTCTGTGGAAAGGGCTGGGAAGGAGGCTGCCCTGTGAGAGAGAGTGCATGTGTCAGGAAACAATTACAGAGGACTAGAGACAGAGAACAAGACACAGAAGGGGCCAGGAAGTCTAAGGAGACACAGCCTGGGAAAGGGAGAAAATCAGGTGGGGCCTGGAGAATTGGATGGATTTGATCTCACACACAGTTGCACACGCACGCGTGCGCGCGCACACACACACACACACATGTGCGAGCCATCACATGCACGTGACACAAGGTGTGACAGCTGTGTGCACGGGTGAGACCTTACACTTGGGGACAGGGAGCACAGAAGATGGGTGCAGAACTGGCCTTTCCTGGACACCCTAAAAAAGGAGCTCTACAAATGGTTCTTATTCCTGTCCACGAATGAAAAAGACCTAGAGATAACCTCTGTCCTTCACAGCCCCTGTCCAGTCACCCTGGGGTGCTGACAGGCCAGATCATGTCACACAAGCCCAACACTGCAGTGATGCCTCCCTTCACAATTCCACCGGGATTCCCCACCATGAAGCAGGCCCCCCAACAGCCGCTGCCCAGGCCCATCCACTTTACCCATCCCCCCATTCCCACCCCCCTTGTCCTCACCCGCAGAAACCCCAGTGTCACTGCAGTGCTGCTCCCCTGCCCTCCCAGCGTCTCCCAGCTGCCTCCACTGGCCTCGCCCCACCTGCCCACACTCACACCTCTTTCCTGTTGCTCTAACAGACGCTCGTCTTCTCACACGGGCAGACTCGTGCGCGCATCCACGCCCTCACCTTCGTTCTCACTCATCTTTACCTGCACCAACCCGCTGGCCTCTTCCGGACCACGGTGGCTCCTCTCAGCCCCTCCCCCTGCATTGGTGCCACCCACCTGCACTCAGACCCCTCTTATCAGCCTGTGACTCTGTGCCCCTCTCTGTCTCGATGCCAAAACAGCCCGGCATCCTGGAGATGACCTCAGTGAGGAGCCAGGGATCCTCCCCAGGTCATTTCCTACTGCTACACTGCTATTTGCAGCCATACTTAAAACCCACTCTGAGTTCTCCCCAACCCCCAAGCCCCTAAGCACAGCCTCCCCTGCCTCTCACCTCCTCTGATATCCTCCTGAAATCCTAATTCCTCTCTGTGGTGATTGGCATGATCCCCAGCATAGCGGTGTTGGGAGGGAGAACCTAGTGGAAGGGGGGTAATCCTGAGGACTCTGCCCTCCTGAGTGGATTATTGACATCATTACAAGAGAGCAGCCATATTAAAAGCTTCCCCCTTCAAAGTCCCTTCACCCTCCCCATGCCTCCCCAACAACTAGGGTTGATGCATGAGAAAACCCTACCAGACACGGCCCTCAGTCCCGGGCTTCCCAAACTCAAGAATCATAAGCCTGGCTATTATAAGTTTCTTAGTATTGTGTATTCTGTTTTAGCAGAACAAGACAGGATAGGTTATACTCCATCCAGAAGCACTTTCCGACCAGTCTTCCCAGATGGAAATCCACAGCTAAAGCTCTGACTGCTTCCCTTGTCCTGATTCCCAACTGACCTGTGACTTATCAAGCCCCAACCCAGTCAACCAGAATAAACCAGCTGAGCCCCAACTCGGTATGACATCATGGACAGGCCATTCAATCTCCTAGTGTCCCCATATTTTTCATCTATATATTGACAGTGACAAGAGGAGCCTCCTGACTTAGTGGGTCTGGGAATTATATGAGTTAAAACGTATAAAGCACCATGTAGGCAAGTTTGAAATGCTCTACGCAAGATGGAATAGAAGCTGCTAGATTTAACATTCTTTCAGAAAAAAATTAAAATACACACACATTGTGCGGACACCAGACCTTGAGCAGAGACCCACTTCCCCATCGGCCTGGGAGTAGGCAGCTGTAAGACAATGTTTACTAAAAACATGTTTACTAAAAGCAATCCAATGCCCGGGGCAATAAGTTCCTGAAAAGGGCTGGCCCACAGGAACCGCCCTGACCTTGACCTTTCCCAAAGACTATCTGCCTCTTCAGACCCACCCACATCCACCTCTGGTGTCAGGGTATATAATAACCAGCCAGAGGAGGAATAAAGGAGAGCCTTCTTGAGGAGCCTTTGGGTCTCTGTGTTGTCAATCCCTGACCCCCTCCTCACGTTCTCGGATACAGGCTGCGCAGCAGACGCGGCAACACATATATACACATGTGTACATATGTATACATGTATGTATGAAACAACAGTTTTCAAGACAATTGACATCAGGCCATAGAGGCATTGATCCCTGAAAGATGGGGAAATGAAGGAGATGAGTCCTCCCATTGCCCAGGTCACTACTCATTACCTTGAGGAACTTTTCAGTTCACTGGGCAGAGAGGAAAACTTGGGACAGAGTCTAGCAGACTCCCCAAGTTGAGAAGATAGCTTGAAAGCCTGAAACCAAGACAGTTAGGGCCAAGAGGTCAGACAGGCCCTAAGCCACTTACCCACATCCCAGAGAACACTTAGAGGAATACAAAAGCATCCAGCACCCAGCACCAGCACCCAGCACCCAGCACCCAGCAAGACAGAAGTCACGATGCTCAGCATCTAATCATAGGTTACAAGATGCGTATAGGAAAACACAATTCAAATGAAGGAGATGGGTGAATCGACAGAGCAGACAGGGGGTGTCTCAGGGATATGACACTTGCCTATACATGTAAGGTCCTGGGTTCAATTGCCAGCATCAAAAATAAATGATTAATAAATGAATCTATCAAAATGAGATCCCAGGATCTTTTGAAATGGACTCAGAAGTGACACTGGTGTTAGGACAGACAGGACACTGACACAGATGCTATGATTGCACCACACAACTGGAAAGCATTAGGTATGAACGATAGTTAAAAGGTCTAGGTTAGCTGGGCATGGTAGTGCACACCTGTGATTCTGGCACTCAGGAGGCTAAAATAGGGGGACTACTGAGAGTTCGAGGCTAGCTGGGGCTACACAGTGAGTTCCAAGCCAGCCTGGGTTACAAAGTGAGACTCTGTCTCATAACAACATGCCCTCAATTCTGGATTCTGCAACCCTCCGAGGCACATACATGCACACATGTAGTCTAGAGGGAGGACTCGTCTCTGGCCCCAGGTGTTCTGTCACTTCTAGGCACACACCCTTTCCTGGGACTCTGCAGTCAGTGGTGTCGGCAGCTCACATGTAGAGGGACACGGCACTGGCTAGTTTTATGTCAACTTGACACAGATAGAGTCATCAAAGAGGAGGAAGCCTCAGTGAGAAAATGACTTCATAAGATTGGGCTGTGAGCATTTTAATTAGTGATTGATGGAGGAGGGCTCAGCCTGTGGTGGGTGGGGCCATCCCTGGGCTGGTAGTCCTGGGTTCTAGATGAAAGCAGTTGAGCAAGCCATGAGGAGCAAGCCAGGAAGCAGCACCCCTCCATGGCCTCTACATCATCAGCTCCTGCCTCCAGGTTCCTGCCCCGACTTCCTTCAGTGGTGAACAGTGACGTGGAAGCATGAGCCAAAGAAGCCCTCTCCTCCCCAGCTTGCTTTGGTCCTGGTGTTTCGTCACAGCAGCAGTGGCTCTGACGATGACAAATGCACACCCTGCTCACTGAGTCAACGTGAGAGAGACAGAGGAGCTGGCCTCGGAGACAGGGATCCGGGTGAGGCCCCAGAAAGAGGATACTTGCCTTTCCAAAATGGATTTTCTGTCCTAGGATTCTGCCCATGAGTGCCTTGTTCCTCATTGCCACTAAGCTGATGGTCATTTTCCTCGGAATCCAGCTGCTGGATGTCGTGAAAATCCTTCTCCATGGTGGGTAGGCCCCGAGGGCTGGAGCTAGGCCTGGGACTGAGTTAGATTTTCTTAGCTGGAACTTGGGTTTGTGCTAAGATGCGAACTTCTGTGGAGGAACCCATAGGTCAGGGTGAGCGTTTCAGAGGTTGGAGGTTAGTTTGGGGAAAGACTTGAAATACTGCAGGGTCACATCTCCTCCCAGGAGATGCTGGCCCTTGGGGCAGTCAGGAGCCTTACTACCATACTCTCGTGGACCAAACTATACAACATGTTCCCATTCCTCCCTCAGTGCCCCTGAGCCTGTTCTTTTTTAGCCCTAGACACCCCAGTCCTACCGGCTTCCCCCATCTCAGTTACCTGCTCAAGGTGTAGAGAACCGACTCTGGCTTCTGAAGGCAGCTCACGCACAAGGAGAAAGGGGGGTTAAACTGGGGCAACTGGACAGGTGGTACTAGAGAAGGGAGCAGGGGGTTGGTCTGGGCGAGGGCTGGGTCCCTGTGTCTGAGTGTCGAAGTCCACCTAACCTGTCATCTCCTGCCCCCGAGGACTTTGGACAGTCAATAGAAATAGAAACACAGTTGGAAACATGGCCAGTGAGTGTTAGGGGTGAAGGACATGTTTCTGTTCTCACAACCAGAGAAAGGAGAAGGGAGGTCTCTTTGTGCGCGCGCGCGCACACACACACACGCACACACACACACACACACACACACACACACACACACACACACACACAGTCCCCTCATTGCACAATGTAGGAAGGGGAGCCAGGTGTGGAGGGGCCAGGATACAATTTGCTGTTTCTTTCCATCCCTCCCCTGTTTCACTTCCTGCCTCTTCATTTTCCAAAACTGTTGATGTCTCCAAATATCTCTGGCCAGAATCAGAATGACCTACAGATCAGTTCCCTGTTCTTACCCAGTCTGAGCCTGTGGCCTGGCAACCAGCCACAGCTTCCTATGCACCAGGCTCCCCAGCTCTGGCCTGTTCACTCACATTCCCTTTCCACCCCCCAACTTCTCCCAGATCCTCCTCATCTCCTACCCCCTAGCTTTATGTTCCCCTTCTCTCAAAAGAAAGAAATGAAGGAAGTCAAAGCAAACAAGTAAAAGACCAATAAGACAAAACAAACAAACAACAACAAAAAGCCCACCATGAAATTCATTTTGTGTTGGCCGGACACTCCTGGGCCTGGTGGAATGTGGTTGCTATACCAAGGGCACACCATTGAAGAAAACTGTTTTTCCCTTTGCTAGTGGGTGTCAACTGCAAATAGTTCCTTGGTTAGGAGTAAGACCCAACCTCCCCCTTTAGTGGTGAGGGGTTTAATGAAGACACCCCACGTAGGACTGAGTGCTCCAAACTTCTCCCTCTCTGCTCACTTCTCAACTGTGGGTCTTCACTCTTGAGTAGGGAAGTTCCTGAAAATATAGAAGTTGTGACCCGGGCACCACACTGAGTCCAGGAGATGGCTCAGCAGGTAAAGAACTTGCTTGGGAAGCATGAGGACTTGAGTTCGAATCCTCAGCACCGGTATAAGAAGCCAGGCATGGCAACACACACCTGTGATGTCAACACCGGAGGGAAAGGAAAGTGACAAGGAGATCCACAGGACCAGAGTAGCAAAAACAGCAAAGAGTTCAAAGACACTCTGTCTCGAAGAATAAGGAAGAGAGTAATAAAGGAAGATTCTAAAATTCTACCTCTGGCCTCCACACGAACTGGCACAGGGAAGCATACACAGCACACACATAAATTATCTATAGATGTTTTCTCCCAACAACACCCTATGAGGTCAATACATTTGTCACTGGAAGAAAGGAGATTAAGTGACTTGGTCCAGGAGCTGATACTACAGTTTGGATCTGAAATCCCCACCCCCCCAAAACTTGTGTGTTAAAGGCGAGGTCCCCAGGTGAAAGCACTATTGGAATATGAGAAAATTGTGAGAGTGAGGCCTGCTGGGAGGTCTTCCAGCATTGCAGGTGAGCCTTCCAGAGGCGACAGAAGGCTCAGTTCTTTGCCCTCCCCATTTCCGGTCAGGAGCCAAGCAGCCTTGCTCTCTGTCATAATGTGCCACCTCACCATGGGTCCAAATCAACAGAGCAAGTTTATCATGGATTGAAACCTCCAAAACCATGAGCCAAAATAAATCGGTAGCTTTATCTCAAACAGGCGTAGTACTGGATCCAGTTCTGACTGCTGTTCAAAGGCCAGTACTCGGGACTTGAGAGCTGGAGGAAACGAGGTTGTCTTTATTCAAAGGCTGGCACCTGGATGATGGGAAGCCCACTGTCTGTAAGAACCATCTTAGAGAGCCCAGGCCCATGAAATGGCTTTTCTGGGTAGAATGGGGGCAGTAGACCATGCACTCTGAGTCGTGGATCTAGATTCTACAGCAGTCTTTGTTACAGGCCAGGGATCGTTTTCCTTTCTCATCGCCTAGGCCGGTTCCTACAATACTTTACAAAAGATGGAGAGATGGCTCAGTGTTTCAACACACTGGCTGCTCCTCCAGAGGACCCAGGTTCGATCCCCCAGCACATGGTGACTCACAACTGTCTGTAGCTCCAATTCCAGGGCCTCTGACAAGTTCATCTGGCCTCCTCAGGCACTGCACACAGGCAGTGCACAGACACACATACCGGCAAAACACCTACACATTTTTAATTTTAAAAAGCATGCTGTTTGGGGCTGGAGAGATGGCTCAGAGGTTAAGAGCACTGTCTGCTCTTCCAGAGGTCCTGAGTTCAATTCCCAGCAACCACATGGTGGCTCACAACCATCTGTAATGAGACCTGGTGCCCTCTTCTGGCATGCAGGGAACACATGCAGATAGGACACTGTATACATAATAAATAAGCATTTAAAAAATGCTGTTTTCTGCAAATTAAATTAAAGCCACACTTCCCCTCTCAGTGAATGAGCAGGGTTAGACGGTGTTTTGTGTTAGTTGGTGAGCATCCTATGCTGTGTGGGGATCCCCAGACGACCTGGAGTCTGTTAGAGAAGTCACTTCGGACTGTTTTACAGCTCATGTCTTTTTAGTCCTTTTTCCAAGGAACTGCTAACCTGGAAGTTTGAGATACAAAGCAGAGAGGGCCGCAGCAGGCAGCTTGGGTCAGAGCCGTCATCTACAGCAAAGCTACAAATTAGTGATCTCCCACCACCACCCCAATTTGTTTTTTGTTTTGTTTTGTTTTGTTAAGGGTTTTGTTGTTGTTGTCGTTTCGGTTTGGTTTGATTTGGATTTGGTTTTTCAAGACAGTTTCTCTGTATTGTTTTTTGGAGGCTGTCCTGGAACTGGCTCTGTAGACCAGGCTGGCCTCGAACTCACAGAGATCCACCTGCCTCAGCCTCCCAAGTGCTGGGACTAAAGGCGTGTGCCACCAACACACAGCCAATTTGTTATTTTTAAAGGCAAAAAAGAAAATGTAAACTTTTGCTTTTTCTCCTCCCAGCAGGCTCTACATTTTAAAGACTTTCTCTAACAAAATCTCCCCCAGGCCCCACATTGCATATGAATAGATTTTTCTTCCATCAGGATGTATGTAATGAACTGAGTCACCCCCCACCACTCCACCCAAATGTTAAAGTCCTAGTCCCCTGGAGACTACACTGGATGAAGACAAGGCCTTGTAGGAGGTAGTTTAGGTAAATGAAGTAATAAGAAAGGGCAGTAGAGCCAGGCAGTGGTGGCTGGGGCCTTCAATCCCAGCACTCAGGAGGCAGAGGCAGGTGGATCTCTGTGAGTTAGAGGCCAGCCTGGTCTACAGAGTGAGTTTCAAGACAGCCAGGGCTACACAGAGAAACCTTGTCTTGAAAAACGAAAAAAAAAAAAAATCCAAGAAGACCAGTGCCCTTATAGAAAAGGAGGACAGAGACTGTGACTCCATGCTAAAGCGTTTGCTTAGCATTGCAAGACACTCAATTTGATCCACCATAAATGCACAGAGAAAATGCTTGCCATGGAAAGTCTCACCCTCCCTGGGCAGCAGAAAGGGGATGGGATAGGGGGTCAGTGGGGAGAGGCACAGGAGGAGGGGAGGGAGAGGGAACTGGGATTGACATGTAAAACAAGCTTGTTTCTAATTTAAATTTAAAAGAGAAAAAAAAAAAAGAAAAGAAAATTCTTAATGCAGACACTGAAAGTGGCTGTCTATAGCCAACAGATCCACGCCCACCAATGATCTTGTGGTCTCCAGAACTACAGGGAAAAAACCACAACTTAGGTTTCATATTTCATTATGGAAATCCAAGTAGACTAAACAATAGCCAAGAAGACTAAAGAAAACTTAACATATGAGGTTCAGCAGTAAAAATAAAGAAATAGAAGTTACGATCTCTTAAGACAGTCTTAATGGGGAGAGAGACGAGATACTGGATAGAAACACAGACAGAACCAGTGGGGTCTAGTACTCTACAGAATATTAACTATGGGTAACAGAATTTACCATATATTTCAGATAGCCAGAAGCCTGGACTTCTTTTTATTTAAGATTTATTTATTTATTATGAATACAACATCCTGCGTCCATGTATGTCTGCATGCCAGAAGAGGACACCAGATCTCATTACAGATGATTGTGAGCCACCATGTGGTTGCTGGGAATTGAACTCAGGACCCCTGGAAGAGCAGTCAGTGCTCTTAACCTCTGAGCCATCTCTCCAGCCCAAGCCTGGACTTCTAATGTTCACAAAGGTGCTATATGCTCAAAATGATGGAAACACTAATTACTCTGAGGTGATCAACACTGAAATGTCACACTGAAACCCCACAAATGTATAAATCTAGAAAGGAAAGGAAACAAATTAGCAGTAAACAGAGAAAAAGGTCTTATAATCTGTAATCTATATGATAAATGATTAATCTTACATATATAAAGCAAGAATAGGAAACTACAAGAAAGAAACAATTGATAAAGAAAAATAATTTCTGAGGAACTTGAGTTCAATGAGGAATTGTTCATTTTTGAAATACAATAAAGATGTGAAGTGCTGATTGATTAATAGCAGTCCTAAATCTGTGACAGTTAAAACAGAAATGCTTAAGTTCCCCAATCTCAGAGCAGCCAAAGGTGAAAGGAAGGCAAGTGCCTACAAATGTCCAGCTGATGAATGGATGCATGTGGATTATCCATAAAATGCAACATAATTAGTCATAAAAGGAAGGAAACTCTGACACGTGCTACAATGTGGATGTAGAATAAGTCATGTGTTTAATGAAACAAATTGCTCACAAAGGAAAGCAAATGCTTTCTGACTCAATTTTTATGAGGGGCTTAGAGAAATCAAACTGATAGACAAGGAAGAATTGCACTTATCTGGGGCTTAGAGAGCAAGAACAGAAAGTTAGAGTACAGAGCTTCACTTTTGCTGGATAAAAACACACTGTAGGTAGATGGTTGGTGGCTGGTATCAATATCTTTTTTTTTTTTTTTTTTGGTTTTTCGAGACAGGGTTTCTCTGTGGCTTTGGAGGCTGTCCTGGAACTCGCTCTGTAGACCAGGCTGGCCTCGAACTCACAAAGATCCTCCTACCTCTGCCTCCCGAGTGCTGGGATTAAAGGCGTGCGCCACCAACGCCCGGCGGTATCAATATCTTGGAAACTATGCTGCACACTTGAAAATGATTTAGAGCCAAGCATCACATAACACTAAACCCAACATCAGGAGGCTGAGGCAGGAG